CTGGGGAGAGGGGGCCAGTTTGAGCCGATTTCGGATTTTGGACTATATTTTAGTAGTTTTCTTATGGGATTGATCCTTTTAGCCAATATTGATTATCTCGTACTGTTTGTGCCTAGATTCGAGGCATTTGGAGGCCGATTCGAGAGGCAAAGGCATTTTGGAGTAGGATTTCTGTGCGGTTGAGGTAAGTAACAGTCTTAAATCTGGTTTTGAGGGTATGAAACCCCGAGAATTGGTATGATGTAAATATTTGGAGGTGACGCACATGCTAGGTGATGGGAGTGTGAGCGTGCACCGTCAGGGATTGTGACTTGGTCTGTCCCGTGAGACTGTAAAGTTGAATAGCCATTGTTATTACTTGTTTTTCCTTATCTTTGAGCAATTGATTGCCTTTTATATTAGAAACCATGCGTAGGCCATATGATATCACTGTTGCGACCCGCATCGATCGTCTACTTGTTGAATTGACCGCTAATTGTTTCCTTGTACTCAGTCACATCCTTATTTGTGTGTTATATCTCTGTTCCCTCTCATTTCTTGTTGATACTTGTTGTATTCTCTGTTTGGGCTAATTATTATGATATTCTGTGAGGCCGAGGGGCTCGAGAGGTTAGTGACTGAGATACGGCCTGAGTGCCGAGCTGCGAACTGTGAGGTATATGGATCGGGTTGCACGCCGCAACAAGCCTTCGGGCTATATATATACATTATTGGATCGGGTTGCACGCCGCAACAATATTGGATCGGGTTGCATGCCGCAACAATATTGGATTGGGTTGCACGCCGCAACAATATTGGATCGGGTTATACGCCGCAATAATATTGGATCGGGCTACGCACTGCAGCAATATAGCGCTTAGGCTAAAGGATCCCCTCCGGAGTCTGTACACCCCCAGTAATCGTAGGTACCTATTGAGAGTGTGTATTGAGGGCTGGAAGCCGAGAGTATGAGCTGTTGAGATGAGTTGAGTGATTGCTGCCTTGAGAGGTTGTACTTGCTTTTATTTATTGTTGCACTTAGTTGTTATCTTTGTTGTTGTGAAATTTCTGCAAGACTCATATCTATTTTACTTGAGCTCGAACTGATTTGACTTACACTACAGGATTTGAAAGCATGTTCACTCTTTACTAAAAACTTTTGAAATGATCTGTATTTTTATAGTTCATCACTGCCTCTCAGTTCCTTATTTAATTTTGTTACTAGCTGAGTTGGTTGTACTCATGCTACACCCTACACTTCATGTGCAGATCCAGGTGTGTACGGTTCTAGCGGTCGCTGAGTTCGTGCGCGGGCTGATTATCGGAGACTTATGAGGTAGTTGCCAGCTTACACAGTCCTTGTTTCTCCTTTCTTATTATCTTTTCTCTCTTGTATTGGCATTTGGCACAGACTATAGAAGACTCTATTTTGTTTTCTAGATTGGTTGTTGGATGCTCATGACTTAGTGAAACCTCGATGTCGGGCTATCATTCCGCACTTGTGTTTTGGATTTTTACCCCGTTATTATGTAAACCTTCAGTTAGTTTAATTGCTTTAGCTCACTTCTGTTATATATTGAAAGCATATTGAGAATGTCGGCTTGCCTAGTTCCACGATAGGCGTCATTACGATTGGTTAGGTATTTGGGTCGTGACAAGTTGGATACGTGAATGCTGAACTAACATGGATATATGAATATTGAACTGGCACGAATATTTGAGTACTGAACTGACATCAATATTTGAGTACTAAGCTGGCATGAATATCTGAGTATTGGATTAACATGATTATCTGGGTATTGAACTGACATGAATATCTGAGTACTGGAAACTTGAATGTCATAATATGACACGTGAAGTAGTGGGTGTACCACCGCTAATTCTGGTGGCAACTCCAACTCATAAGCTATTTGCCCGATCTTTTGTAGGATCATATACGGCCCGATGTATCTGGGACTGAGCTTTCCTTTTTTCCCAAACCTTATAACACCTTTCACAGGCGAAACTTTCAGAAGCACCCAATCATCAACTTGAAACTCTAGGTTTCTATGTCGCATGTCCGAATAGGACTTTTGGTGGCTCTGAGTCGTCTTCATACGCTCTTGAATCAACTTGACTTTCTCCATAGTCTGATAGACCAAATCTGGTCCCAACAACTCTACTTCACTAACTTTGAACCAACCAATTGGTGATCTACACCTTCGCCCACACAAAGTCTCACACGGTGCCATCTTGATACTACAATGGTCCCACAAGTGCCCATATACCACAACTTGCCACAAAGTCAACAACACCAATATTTCTATAACAAATAGCCCATGGCTCAACCACAAGGTGTACAATAATTTCAACAATAACAAAATAAATGAGAATTCTCAATAAGGAAAGGTATCTCAACAATTAAAAATCTCGCCTTAATGTGATAACGACTATTACAACTTCAATACCAATAACCCAACAAGATGATATTTTACGAAATAACAACTTCAATTAAAAGTGATTCAATAATTAATAGGTAACAAGACAAAAGAAGGGAATAACTTCAACTAAAGCATATAAGAGCAAAATAACAAGTAAGAGATAGAACAAATGCTAACAACATCAAATAGAGCATGTAAGAGTAGATTAACAATTAGAGATATAACATGTTATGACAATACAATTAAAGCGATAGAAAGAGTCTAGATAATCTAAACCGGTCAAATACCACATATAGACTATCTACCCACTCGTCACCTTGCGTACAGGGCCTTCACATAATACAAATAGCACAATCAACCCAAATCCTAAGGGGTAGTTTCTCTCACACAAAATTAGGCAAGATACTTACTTCAAACAAGCCCAATTGATACACTAGAAGCACCATCCCGCTCCAATCATCCTCCGAACGGCTCGAAACTAGCCAAAAGCAACTCAAAATCATCAAATAATGCCATAGAAAGCAAACCCAATCAATAAAAGTCGAGTCTTTACACATTTATCCAAAGACAAACTCACGCCCGCACCTCGGAACCCGACAAAACTCATAAAATTCGACAACCCATTCAGTTACGAGTCCAATTGAATGGGTAGTAGTTTCACAACAAAAATTGAATGGAGAAGCAAATCAATGAGATGATTCCAAGTGTCACAAAAAAAATTCAATGTGTAAAATTTTAGGACAAAATTAGTTAGATTAGTTAATAATTAGTTAATCTTTTTTAATTTGATTTAAAATAATTAAATATCTATATATTTTAAAGAAAACTATTATATAAAAAAGGAAAAATATATAAATAAATAACTTCAATTATAGATATATAAAATAATAAGACTAATTTATTTTTTGAGATGAGAAAGTTTCTGAATAATAATTCATATGGTCATGATATATGGATAAGATCATGTAACTAAAAATATTATAATAGATAAAACTAAAGACAAAAATATAAAAAATAATTTCAAGAAATAAATAAAATATATAAAAATACAATTTAACTTATTATATAGTAATTTTAATAAATCAAACTTTCATATTAAATACAAAATAGGAAGAAGAATTCAATTTAATTTTTTATTGAAAATAATACAAAAATAAAATTATTACAATTATTAGTAAATTCACATATAATAAAAGAACTTCCTTGTTTAACCTTTGAACTAATTCAACACTATCCATTTCGAAAAATAATACAATAATATTCATATTATAGATAAACACTAAATGAAAAAAATTAAAATATTGTAGAATAAAAACTAATGTATAAAGAGAAAAATTGATATAATGTGATTTTATCCACGCTTTAAATTTATTTGATAAAATTAAGTAAATAAATAATATTCTAAAATATTATTGATAAATTTAAATATCGACATAATTTGAGAAAGTCATATAGGATAAAGTCAAGTTAAATTTCATGAGTAATATAAAATTATATTAATTGTATTATATTAAACTGGTAATTTATTAATAATTCATATGTTAATTTAGTAATATTAAGTAATGGATAATACAATTAGATAAGCATGGAACAAAAAAATATAAATTTGTGGGAAATTATAAAAATATAAGACTTATAATTAGAATTATTTGAGAAAAATCGGACATATACACATAACTAAAATCATAATAAGCAAATAGTCATAAAGCAAAAACACTAAGAAAAAACAAATTTCAAGCCATAGCGTAAAAATATATATACTAATTAAATTTTTCATGTAGAAAATTTTAGTTAATAAATAGATCTCATAATTTCATAATAAGAAATACAAAAATATAAAAATACTATTAAGATATTATACATAAGATAGGTATATTATATATATAACACGAATTAATAATTATTAAAAATATTGGTAGATTTTTTTTATATAAAAATAATAAAATGCTTATCTCTTTATACTTTTTATGAATTAAAAATTAAAATTTACTATAAAAATTAAATTATTTAAATTTTCAATATAATACAATATGAGAAAACTAATCAAATATTATAGTAGAAAAAAATATACGAAAAGAGGGGGATAAAAATAATTTTATGATATTTATGTTTTGAATTAATTAATAATAAAATATAAATAAATAACACTCAAGAAAATTATTAATAAATTTAGACAATTGAAGAATTTTGAACAATATAAAATAAGTTTTAAAAAAAATACTTTCAGAGTAATAAAATATATATCTATATTATATTATAAGAGAAGTAGCATTAAAATATTAAGCCAATTGACAAATTAATAAAACGTCATATTAGTAAATGTATAGTACTAAATACTTGCCAATTTAATAATAATAAAGAATAAATAAGGAACATTAAATAACAAATTAACAGCTAATATTTATAAAAATATTATGATATATTAAATTATAATTTTATAAGATTAATATTCTATCAAATTAGGCATTGTAACACTAGTTTGAGTTTTACTTTTGCAAATTAGAGTTTAAAAAGCACCTCAAACAAACAGAAGTGTAAAAACCTAAAAAGATTTTGCAAACTCTAATAATTTTTGTGAACTCCGAATTTGCAGCTGTTTTTCGGATATTTTGAGAATTAGGGACTGTTTCCTACACAATACACAAACATCTGTCATCACCAAAACAGATTAGAAACGAACTGTTCGATTCCGCCAGCCATGGCTACATCTCTGAGCACACCAAAGCTCAGCACTACTCTTTCTTCTCCAGCTCTCCACACTCTTCTCTACAAACACAAATTCTCTCTTCTTTCTCTCTCTAACCCAATTAAGCCTCTCCACTTCAATTTTCTCACCCACTCCCGTACCACCCCATCCTTGTCTTACACCCGCCGCCATTTCTCCGCCCCGCGCGCCGAGTCCTCCAATGGCGCTGACGCTCCTCGCCACTACGACTTTGACTTATTCACCATCGGTGCTGGTAGTGGTGGCGTTAGGGCTTCTCGTTTTGCGTCTAATTTTGGGGCTTCTGTTGCTGTTTGTGAGCTCCCTTTCTCTACTATCTCTTCTGATTCCACTGGTGGCGTTGGTGGCACGTGAGTTTCTTAGTTTTACCCTTTTAACTTGGTAGTATAAATTTGCTATCTTTAGTTTTGAGCTTACTTTGTTATATGGGGAAGTAAGTCTAGGAAAATTTAAAATGCCTAATTATAGTGGAGTAGGTAAGATAGGGTGATTAAGTAATAGCCTTTCCGGCCCAATTGTGCTTTGAGCTAAATATAATACTGTTGTTTTATGATATTGGTGGCAATGTTTCTGAATTGGTCGAACTGGGTGGGCTGTGTGATTCCCAAATGAAGTCAAGAGGATTAAGTTGAGTAGGACACTTAAAAAATGCAGCCGGGTGTGTGTTGTTTCATCCAAAAGTAATGCATTTTTGGAGGATCCGACACGGGTGTGTCAACCATTTTAGAGAGTCGAAGCAACATAGACTCTACAATGGGTTCCAGGATCACTTCATGAATATGGGTTCACAGAATCACTTCACGGAAGGTCCTACACAAGTCATGCATATTGCACTAGGGAGAGTGAGGTTCTTTTCGGGAAACTAGACTATGATTGGCATGAATTTAAGATAATAGTATATAAATAAAGGTTTTAAATGCCTGTGATGTGAAGGAAGTCGTAAAGAAATGGAACGTAAAGACTACTTGAAAGAATATATGTTTTGCACTTGCATGCATGTTTGATGATGCATGACCTCCATTCTACGTGCAAAAGGTCCAATTTATAACTTTGGGGTAGCCTTTATGGGACTTGTTGAAGACATGTAATTAAATAAATAAAAGTATGCTCGCTAACTGTTTAAACTTGGTATCAGAATAGGTAGGGGTCGTGGTTTCGAGCCTTATCGTCACCTTTATTCTTTTTAGGTACTTGGCTCATAAAAACATAATTAAGGCCGCACGTGATGGGGCATGTTGAATCAATATGATTAAGTAACTAAAAGTGTGCTCTCTCTAACAACTTAAGCTTTTACATGATATGATCACAAAATTCAACTTAAACAACTTTGTATTGTGCTCTGGATTGTTCTTTAAAAGCTCAGCGTGTTCCAGCTAATATTGTGGTAATTGGTTGTCTCTGTGAAGGCTAACCGCCTTAACACCACGTTGGCTAACTGCCTTCACCTTCAACCGAAGTCTTCTTGCCCCACTCTCCATGGAGAGGTGGTTACTTGATCAAGTCATCATATGGTAACACCATGTATGACTTGATCATGCAGTTTTTTTCTTTCTTATCCAATCCTTTGAGATGGATATTGGAATTAGTCCATTTAGGCCAAGTTGTCACGAACAATTCCATCCATAGGGTCATGGCCCAAATTAAGCAGGCGAAGAAGAGATCCAAATTATTCTTAGCCAAATTAAGCAGGCGAAGAAGAGATCCAAATTATTCTTAGCCAAATTAAGCAGGCGAAGAAGAGACCCAAATTATTCTTAGTCTCAAATTTTTTGTGTGTTAACAGATGGAAGAGATTTAAAGGAAAATCAAGAAATTGTCTTTATAGCGGAGTTGAGATGATAATATTGTTTGAACTTTGAAGGGTGAATGAGTACCCCATTCCCGAGAAGAATGATGGAGTTCGATGGTCAAATATTTTGGTGTGAAGTTGAGACCCATGCTTCAATTTTTAAATGAAATCCACATATTTAGAATTACGTAAAAGTGCTTTAAGTCAATATATTAAAATATCTAAATAATTTTTAGAAAATCATTAATAAAAGAATTGTTTGATTCCCTAAACACTACTCCCTCCTTTTCATTTTATATAAAGGTATTTGACTAGGTATATAGTTTAAGATATTAGTTTGACTTATCTATTATATTAGTGACATTGTAAAAAACTATTATAATAATGGTTGAAAAGTTAGTTTAATAGAGAAAACATCAGATCATTGTTTAATAAAATCAGAACAATTTAATATATCTGAATTCTTGATAATTGTGGAAGTTGTACAGAAATAGAATGGTATCAAGCATTTTGGAACATCCCAAAATGAAAAGAACGTCATAAAAATTAGAATGAAGGGAGTATTAGTTTCATGTAAAGTGTAACCTAAACACTATTGTTTCTATTTAATTGAATGATTTTCTTTGTTTCTCTACTAAAGGTGTGTACTTCGGGGATGCGTACCCAAGAAATTACTCGTGTACGCGTCAAAATATTCTCATGAGTTTGAGGAAAGTTGTGGTTTTGGATGGAACTATGAGGTGGAACCTAAATTTGATTGGAGCACCCTCATTGCCAATAAAAATGCCGAGTTGCAGCGCCTCACGGGTATTTACAAGAATATTCTGAAGAATGCTGGTGTCACTCTGATTGAAGGGCGAGGAAAGGTTGGGAAATGTACAATTTTATTATCATGCTCCGTAAGGCTTCAAGTTAAAGCATATTACCTTGTATTTGACCTTTCAGGTTGTGGATCCTCATACGGTGGATGTGGATGGAAAACTCTACTCGGCTAAGAACATACTGATTTCAGTTGGGGGACGCCCATTTATCCCAGACATTCCTGGTAGCGAGTATGCTATAGATTCTGATGCTGCCCTTGATTTGCCAACGAAGCCTAACAAAATTGCCATAGTCGGAGGCGGTTACATTGCACTTGAATTTGCTGGAATCTTTAATGGCTTGAAAAGTGAGGTCCATGTTTTTATAAGACAAAAGAAGGTTTTGAGAGGATTTGATGAAGAAGTGAGTCATTTATCCCTAACATGCACAGGAGTTTTTTGTTAAGTAATTTCCTTCATAACCCAAAATCTTGATTATGCACTCAAATTCTTTGATATATGCAGATTAGGGATTTTGTTGGTGAACAGATGTCACTGAGAGGAATTGAGTTCCATACTGAGGAGTCGCCTCAGGCTATTATAAAGTCAGCGGATGGCTCACTGTCTTTAAAGACTAGCAGAGGAACAGTTGAAGGTTTCTCTCATATCATGTTTGCAACGGGAAGAAGACCTAATACAAAGGTTTGTTCTGCTTTCCTGTTGCTAGCTTATCTCTGATAGACCTAATAGGGTAAGGTAGTTCATAGCTAAGGGGTTCTTGCTCAATACAAACCTGGATTCATTGAATCCTTGCGGAGGAACGATGATTTCTCCTCAAAGTCAACCACTTCCTCTCCCCTCAAAACCGGCAAGACTATCACGCAACCCCAAACTCCCTTGTGCCTGTGAAAGCTTGCTCTAATTGCTTTTAATGCAGTGAAGTTCTCAGATGAGAAAAAGTTCTTTTTAGCACCCTTCTTTTGGGCTCTCCTGCACTCCCTCTTTGGGTGGCATGAGATTGCCAAAGCCCAATCAGATGTGGGCTGTGGGGCAGGATTGATTATTTTGTTAGACTAGTGATCCTGTAGTCGTGATTGTTTTTTCTTCTATTATCATTATTTACTCCATCGTTATTTGTTCTTTTAATATTGTAATTGCATTATTCATCTCAAAGGTTATTGTCATTTCTATTATTATCGCGATCATCATCTTTGTCACCATTGTTGCAGTTACCATTGTACTTATAATTGTGGTTCCTTATTTTATGTTCATGTTTATCAGTTGGTGCTTTGTGTGGTGTGGTTTCTTTTGATGGATTTGATCGGATACTCAAGTTGTAAGCACCCCTTGCTAAAGTTTCTTTTTGTTTGAATGTGTGGCAGAATTTAGGATTAGAGACAGTGGGAGTGAAAATGACAAAGAATGGAGCCATAGAGGTGACTGTCTTTCTCTCCTTTTTCCTAATTTGCTTGAACTACTCTGCGAATGTGTTTTTGAATGATAGTTTCATTTCCAAATTGCTTTTACAGGTTGATGAGTATTCTCGTACATCAGTACCATCAATTTGGGCAGTTGGAGATGTTACTGATAGAATTAATTTAACTCCAGTTGCTTTGATGGAGGGAGGAGCATTGGCAAAAACTATTTTCGCTGATGAACCCACAAAACCAGATTATAGGTGTCTCTCTTCTTCGTCTAAGTATTCATCTGATGACTTAAAAGTTTGATAAAAACTGTCAAAGATGCACATTTGTCCATTTATTTTCGACTACAATTGGTACAATGTGCTTTAAGATCGGTGGTTCTACCATGTCAAATGCATAAGCTCTTACAGCTGAATTTTAATTGGTTTAAAAAGAAACATCTATAACTTTTATCTGATCTGGGTGTTCTCTTCTCCCAAATAGGAATGTACCAGCTGCGGTATTTTCCCAACCGCCTATTGGACAAGTTGGTCTAATGGAAGAACAGGTATAGTAACTAGAGCTTGTGGGTTGACAATTAACTATTATGATTAATGATTTGATTTTGTTTTCCCAGGCCATCAAAGAGTTTGGTGACGTTGATGTTTATACAGCAAATTTTAGGCCCTTAAAGGCTACTATTTCTGGTCTTCCAGATCGGGTTTTCATGAAACTTATAGTCTGTGCAAAGACAAGCAAAGTTCTGGGCTTGCATATGTGTGGAGATGATGCACCAGAAATTGTACAGGTGGCTATTTCTCTTATTTCTTTGGTGCAAAGTTCTCAGATTGATTATAGGATATACATGGGTAATGTATTTTTGTCATCATGAAACTTCCAGGGATTTGCGATTGCAGTCAAAGCTGGGTTGACCAAAGCGGACTTTGATTCCACTGTGGGAATCCACCCTACATCAGCAGAGGAGTTTGTCACCATGCGTACCCCTACAAGGAAGGTTCGAAGCAGTCCATCTGAGGTTAGTAATTCACCTGAGATTGCCGTGCATTCATCCTTGTAATTCTTTTGTTATAGTATATGTGAAGAAACGACTTTCACTTCTCCGTCTCTCACTCCCAATAAAACTAAATTCTTGAAACGAGACAAATTGTATCCACCAGTATGCTAGTAATTAGGACAGTACCTCGATTGAGCTGGATATGTCCCTCTAATGAGGCAAATGATCAACCTTTAATCCTTTCTTCTTCTTCTTCCAAGTTCCAAATGAGATTGATTTTTAACAATATTACTTCATCCTCTGGAAACGTAAGTAGAATTTTGATGTTTTAATTTTGTCTCATGCTCTTTTTTGCCACTCAGTAGACTATGCATTTTGTTATTTTTTCAGGGAAAGGCAGAGCACGATATTAAAGCTGCAGCTGGAGTTTGATGTGCTCCAATAAAGGCTCAATTTGTTGAATGACATAAAATACATGTGGGTAAGAAAGGGTTCCTTCTTGAATGCACCTAAAGTATAACAGACAAAAAGGATACTGTTAGCCTCCGCCCTCTTATTGCCATGTGCCATGTAATCAAGTTTGACAGAAATGACTGCTCCCTCTGTCTCTCACTATAAGGAGGAACATGCAGACCACTACACGATCACATTAATTAGTGTTCCTTTTTGTCTGACATTCTTAGCTATATTCAATTAGCCCAAGTCTGAACTGAGATCACAGTTTAGAAATTTTGGTTTTGTGATTAATGTTCATTATGGAAAATATCTATAACATAATTCCAAAGAGAGGACCAAAAACCCTGTCTGGAATGATTTGTCATGGACAATGCAGATTTCATGTCATGGGGCCATATTAGATCCAATACGACACAAATTTACTGACATTAGCCCTACATAATATGATCTGTCAGATTGTGAATAATTAAATAAAATGTGTCTTAGATTGAGAACTCTTGGTATTGTTGTTCTGTAACATTAGTAGGTTTACCTATGGATTAAGCGTGAAGCAAGCAGACTTCAAGTTTCTAATGGCTAACAGATCTGCAAATGCCGAGCTAAAAAGCCTGAGATATTTGAAGTGGTAGATGGAGGAATTTACTCCTCTGGTAATTTTCCAGTTTATAGTGTTGCAGCATAGATAATGGAATAATGAGGATAGAGATAACAATGTTCAGAGGGCGCAGAGATCAATTATAATGCATCTAAGTATTCAAGTTTTTGGTTTTCTTTTTTCCCTTAAATCTAGGTGATTGGTGGTGTCCAAAATGATTGCATCATTCCTAATTTAGACTAGCAACTTGATTGCCCTCACTGTCAATGTTGACCCAACTATGCTCTGGACTAGATCAAAGTTAGGAAGGTGTCATTGAGCTGTAGCAAGTATTTGGAATTGATAACGTGGTGTTAAAGTTTGGATTGTTCGTTCTATTGACTGTTGGCGTCATTGTGACGAAAAAATTCACACCTGTAAACCCGGTGTGTGAATTTCTTATATTCCAGTCTTCCTCAGCCAATTCAGATATAGCATCTTTTTCCTTAACCAATATGTTGTACATTTCTCAAGTGCTCCCTGTTCATTATTGTGCAAACTATAACTTTGCAGGTACAACTTTGCAAGAGGTTTTGGACTGATGGGAGCATATGGAACTTCAGTTGTGGACTCACAACAAGCAAAAAGCTTTCTCGAACAACCGAGTCACTGATACTTGTTGGAACCAGGGCTAACTTCACTGCTTGAAAAGGGCTTGAAAGGTGCTTGTGAGGATGCTATATGTATTCGTCCACTTTCTTGCATCTTGTCAACAGTATTGGCTTTGATAAAAGTAATAGTGATTTAATAGTTTTGTCCAACTTTCTCTTAGGGAAGTCCAGAGAGAAGTTATTATTAATATCCTGTTGATGTTTTTCTCTATTTTATATTATACTTTCCTTTTGGGGGTGGGGACACAATCAGGTGGTGTAATTATAATATTGCTTATTATATATTGTTTCTGTGTAACTATAACATTATTTGATATTCTGCAATAATATCAGTTATGCAGATTGCTCATGGCGTTTATATACAATAAAGCAGCTAGGGGAAATATTGATCATTGGTCAGCTTACACATCTTTCATTACTTGTTGGCATTTGATATTGTAAAGATTTTACTTATACACACTGAACAGCCTGTCTCGGATCGGTAAATGAATGATGACATCGCAGGTTTAAGTTTGGAAACCAAGCTATTGTCATGTCATAAATCTAGCTCAACATCGGTAATTTGGCGCAGAATGAGAACAGTGATATATTTCTCATTTGCAACACATCACCATGTATCTGCGGTAGTGATGGCAAAATGATTAAAAGAAAATAGTTAATCACCTAAAATATCCATTAAAAATAAGCTGGATAATGAACTTTTTAAAAACTGGTCAAATATGGATAAGAACCATATTATTCATTTAGAAAATGGATAACCAATTGATAACTTCTCAAATTTGGGGTTCCTCAAGTTTGGGAGATTAGGAATTCTTCCAAAATTATATTCAAAAAGTCATGGATAATATGATTCCGCCAGTTAACCTGTTTTTTATCCGTATTAAATATGGGTCGGGTAAGATAATTTATTCGTTTTTTCATTATCCGCTTTCGATCCGTCCCATATCCGACCCGCCTCGCCCGCTTGCCACACGCAGTGATCTTTCAAGGACTCGCATCTTTATATCAATTTGAGCTCCCTTCCACGTTATTGGCTAGCTTTTCTGTGGCCTATCTAAAATTTAAATGTTGTGTATTCTGAATAAGAGCGAGTTTTTCAAAGTATATTTAATTTTATTTTGCACATAGAGTTCGACCTTAAAATACTGTTACTAGATTCTGTTGAAGCCACAAATTTATGATTGAATCCGCCACCAAAACTTGCTCCATGTTATCCGTCCATATAAAGACAAATCAACTGTCAACGTTCCCTAATTAATCATACATGTGCTTTGTACACAGTTTTCTAATACCTAGACATCTATGGAAAAAAAATTTGTTTTACATAATTGACTCAGCTTTGGTAGTTGGAAGAGATGTGTTTAATTATTGTTAGAAAGAACCAGGCTGTCTGCTTAAACAGTCATTTACTCGGTGGTTGTGATCTTGATTCTTGATATATTTTCTTTTCACTTTCTTGCAACTTGCGAGCAACATTGCTTTTGATAGAGGTAAATACTTTGAACAGACGTGTCCACGTGTTGTCTTAAGGAAGTCAGAAAAGGGATTAGCTTTTAATTGGTATGTTTTAGCTGCTCATTTGAGGAGTTAAACTTTGGTCATGGGTGGTGTAAGTATGACATCGCTTTTAGATAGTGTCTGTGTAATTTATAAATTATTATTAACATTTGTTGATATACTTCACCAATGCCTATGTCCCTTCCCTTTTGGTAGCACGAATTTCTTCCCGCGAAATCATGATTTCAAATTTATGGATTCAGAATTTTAGTCTTTTTAAATTATTTAATTTTAAACTAATAATAATTTATATATATTAAATATTTTTTTAAAGAAAAATATATAATTTAGACCAAAATCCATGATGTCTGTCCACATAAAGCCAAATCAAGAGTCTACTGCAGGTTCCTTAGGCAAATTATTATCTACTCAGGATATAAAGACAGCTTCGTCTCTTTTCTTATTATTATTATTATCATAAATTCACACTATGGATTCGTATGAGTTGGTAAGTATGATTTGTCAAGAGACTGCAAAAACAAGACGATAATCGTGCCGATTAAACAAATGGATGACTAATCTAATTTTCTTATTATAAAAAAGGTGTTGGTGCCAGAGCACTTGCCTTTGTTTTATAACTTTCCAGTTTTGTTGGTGCCTTCGTCTAAACTCAAATAGTTACAGATCATAAGCTGTTGACTTCATTAATCTTTTTTTTTGGTTAATGACATCATTACTCATAACTAACTTAACTATGATAAATGCCCAACTATATTCTGTTATTTACAATACAAGCTTATTAAGATGATCTCATCTCAATCTCGTATCCGATTCTGATTCTAGATAGGCTTTAACTCCTTTCAGATGTTTGAATACTTCGATTCAAGTTTTGTAATTTTCATATTATGTGCTATTATGTTTTAAAAGGCTTTTTTGAGATTCGTTCATGGGTCGGGCACCATCAAAACGCCATGAGACTCACGTGTGGGGCTTAGTTCCATAAGATTACGCCCTAAGCGCCTGACTGTACGACTTGAATACACTTAACGCTCAATGCTCGGGGGTCACCCATATTTTTTACACAAATTATGTGTTGAATTCCCTAATTAGTTTTGTTAGCCCTCATAATTCTACAATAAATGAATGATAAAAGTTCTATTCATCCGTAGAAATATAAAAATTGAGAGTAACTCAAATAACGAACTATAATATTATTCCATATATTATTAAATTGAACATCGTGAGGTTGAATTTCATTTGAACATTTTTTTTTGAAAAATAGATAGCTAAAATTTGTATCTTCACTTGCTATTGACCTTCATTCATATTTTAGTTTTATGTCTCTCAAATTTGAAAGTAATTTTATATTTAACCGTGAAGGAATAATATTTTAAATTACAGTATTGATGAAATTTATTAATTATTTTACTTTTAGGAAGGTAAAATGTGTAGTTTGATAATAGTTTTTAAGAAATTATAATTTTTAATTATTTAAAAGTTAAGTGCGGTTGATTTGTATCTCATAACTTTAACACTATTATATTATTTATATTTGTAAAAACATGCTAGATACTTTATTTTCTATGAGTTTCTTTAATCCTTGATATATTAATTTTAATGTATTTTTTTATACTTTTTGTGTTATTATTTTATTTTGTTAATTTATAAATTAAAATTTTGAAAGATCCATGGGGCTTACGCCCCTTGCCTCAGAGCTTTCGCCTTGCCCCGTATTAAATAATTAAAACACCCCGGTTTATGCCCCTACCCTTTTAAACACTGATGTGCTATAAGATATGCCAAGTTTTGTTTGGTAATAGTTACTTATGTTGTAAAGAATCGCTAATTAAGTAAAAACTAGAAAAGTTACGATTACTCATCTTTGACTATATCTTTTTTTTTTTGGGAAATGAAATGTTTTGCCTCTTTTATATTTTTAACGTATTAAAAGCCAAGAACATCTTAATGAATACTTTTTTCCCTTCTTTTTTAACGTTGAATAGAGACATTTGTGTCGGGTTTTTTTTGGTTCAAAATTGAGGTGAATGGGAAATGAAAGGAAAAATAAAATTTTGATTTTAGATCTTTTACAAAGGAACATTGTCCCGTATTGGAGGAAGAAAGCTTATTTGTTGAGTGTGTGTATGTGTGTGTGTGTGTGTGTGTGTGTGTGTATATATATATAATTATACTTTTTCTAGCTCTTAAAGAATTGAGAAGAAGACAAATATATATATATATATA